GGTTTATGTCATTTTACCTTGTAACAACGTATTCGGTTACACCATTAACATAGTAAACGATACTAAGTATGACAAGCGGAAAAAAGGAACAATAAAATAAAGATACAATTAAAATTAGTTGTATTACCATTTTTCTATGCCTGCGCCAGTCAGCATGCCTATGTACGCGAGTAGTACTGAAAAAGAGCAATATATATGCACGAAAGTGTTCCGCTTGAAAGTAGTTCGAAGATACTGTAAGCAGTACTCTGTGCACAACTAGTGCAGCTACAAAAGTTAATTGTGTAATCGAATACGTTGTTACAAGGTAAAATGACATAAATCACAAAATAAAGCAAAGAATGATAAATACAAACTAGAGTAATAGACATGCAATGCAATAGAATACGATTCTTCGACTTTGGTAGCAATCGATCATGAAAAATAAGAATATGTCGCTCGATTGAAGCCCATGAAACTAACCTAACTGTTACTGTGTATGAAACTATATCGATATATTTCCAAAGCCCACAAAACAATGGCACTTGAATTAAGACAACTCCGAAGCGCATGCAACATATAAGCAATGGAATATCTGTAAATTCGGTAACAAGATCAACGATAAGAATGATGATAACCGCATGATTATGTAAGCCTAGTTGTAGCTTCTTCTCGAATAGCAGATAATAGAGAACAAAGAAAGAGCAAACAATTGATGCACAATTTGAGATGAGATACATCCAGATTCGAGCCGTCATCGGTATAACAAAAACGCTTGTTCCGCTATGTGCTTGTTGATTTAATATTAAAGCGCCATGAGACGTGTTACTTGAATTCGGCATCATTAGATCAATCAAAGTAAAACGAAATCGCTCATAATCTAGAAACACAATTGTTCATTGAATATTTAAAAAAGTAAGAAGAACCGTGTCACTTCCGACAAACACACATCCTTACATATACTATCAAGTGTTATACCAGCTTTTTCTCAAAAGAAAAAAGAAAACTCTTTCACCTTCTACTAAAGTTGAAGTCAGTGACGGCTTGAAAAAGAAATATTACTGCATACTATATACTATGTGATCAATTAGGTATGAAACATTTGTGGAAATCTGCAAACCCATCTCTGATGAAGACGATTATGCCCAGAAACTCCGTAAAGTCTATAGAGTGTAGTAGAAACGAGATGTACTCAAAGGTGAACAATAGTTTGAATTGCTATCCTATATTTCAAAGAATCTCATCAGTGTGAAACTAGCACGACGGAGCTAGCACGATGAAACAGAGATTCAACTATAAGTCTTCTCATAAGTATTGCCGACCCATAAAAACCAGAGCATTCGATGCAGAATTTAATTCTGGATCGGACGGTGATACTTTTATTCCCCGGCAATACTTTGAGAAAATTCTATCCGGTTTTTCTTGTCCTATTTAGAAGAAAGCAAAGGTGTAGGTAAAATTTTTTCCTAAATATTGCCGGGGGATAAAAGTACCACCGTCCGATCCAGAATTAAATTCTGCATCGAATGGTCTGGTTTTTATGAGCCGGTAATACTTCTGAGAAGGCTTATAGTTGAATCTCTGTTTCATCGTGCTAGCTCCGTCGTGCTAGCTTCACACTGATCTGCTACGATTTTGTCCAAAACTGTTTCAGCTTCAAACCGTTTCCAAAAGAATTCTTACAAATACAATCGTTAATTTTAACAACCGGGTAAAACTAGATCTAAAATTTAGTTTTGTTTTCATAAATTCTATATGTAATAATTGATTTTTCATTTCTATCTGATACAAAAACAGTCACACACTACCACTAGTTGCGAACAAAATACTATACAATATAAGCACGAGCATAAAGTGCACACAGATGGAATAATTAAAACGATAATTAGTAACTGCCGGGATTTATATCGCGAATTACGTGATGATTTTAGAGCTAATCGTAAGTTGATGGCTTATTTCATTTATAGATCCAAGGCATCTACACATTATATTTTTAGGTGGCTTTAATCTTATTTTGATTACCGCTGTTGGTTCCTATATTTTTGCATTCACGGGTAAACTATTCTTGGAATATAGAAAATATAAACGAGAAGAAAAAAAAATGGAGAGGGACTCCGAAATTGAAATGAAGCAACTTGCTGTGAAACTAAGCTCTGATCAGCAGCCAACTTCAGCTATAATATCAACATTAGTAAAAAAAGAAGATTCGAAACATGATCCAAGCAATGATATCAGTGAGAATCCGGTGGCTTCAATAAAAACTGAAGTACATTGTAAAAATTAACGATCTTCAAATTCTCATCAGAATACGTTACAATATTCTTATTTATTTTCGCCTCTCCTTCTTCCTTTTACATTACCACTGAAATATTAAGCTTGAAGGTGTGGGTATTTACTTGAGTGATCATGAGCATTACTTCGGATGCACGAAGTCTTCAGTACACATACTCTGTGAAAAAAGGTTTGGGAGTGTGTATTAGTAGAGGAACTAGCCACCCACACACCCTCATGTTCGGAATTAAATAGATATTAAACTGAAAAGAAATACAATATTCTTGATATTTTGTTCGATTTGCAACGAATGCAGTTTATCACTAATGGACACTTATCCACAGGTGTATTTTGCCTTTATCGATTCTGCATGTAAAATTATTATTTTCTTTTAATCGTGAAGAATTTTCAACAAACCATTCCTTTGTCATATTTGTGAGAATTGATGAATGATGATAGACAAATGTGGCTAATGACAAACGTTTCAATCTATCAATCAGTAAGGACATTGTTTCTTGATCATTGATTTCGATTTGCAAACGTTCGATTCGTGGAAATACGATACATATTTGTTCAGCATGAGATTTTATCTCCAATGTATCTATCGTGAGAGAACGTATTGATTCAAACTTTGTTTCTGTCGACAGTTGTGTCAGTAAGGATGTACTGACCAATGAAAGCGATCGTAATTGAGGTAATGATAAGTATGGTAAAATTCTATCCAAACTAAGATCTTTGTCTGTTTGAAGTCTTAGTGTTGTCACATTAATGAAATCTTGCATCAATGGACAAAGCATAGGTAAATTCAAAATATGAACATATTGATCAAGCTTCAAATCCGATGATGTGCACGATGGTGTATGATAGTTGAGTAAATAAGTAATATCCTTTGGTGCAAAACGAGGTACGGTAAACAGGGAAGGTGATGACTCAAGATCATCATAGCAAACAAACCATTTTTTTTGTTCGAGCCAAAATGATGATCGAAAAGAATCAAGAATCTGCTTGTCTAATCTTTCGGCAAGACAAAAACGAAAATCAAATATTTGAAGATGTGATACTAAATATTTCCATTGATTTCCATCGATAATATCCTTAGTATCTTCGATATCATCCTTTAAATTTCGAGACCAAACTTCCCATTGATCATCAACATTAAAATCCATTGGATCGTCTATACGAAGCTCGAAATGCCTTAGACAAGGCATTTTTAATAAAAATTGATTCATTTTCGACATCGTCAATCGACCGTCTAATAGTTAAAATGAAAAGATAATAGATTAGATTTATAATTTCTATCTTACATTCCACGCAAAGTGTCAATTGTCTTAAATGATTCATTATTGGTGCTTTTTGAGACCAGCGACTAGAAACATTGAGGGACAATGTGATATTTAAAGAATACAGATTAGTCATTAGACGTAATAAATATTCCAAATTATGACAATAGGAATATGTTATTGTTAAATATCTCATGTTGTTCAACGGTTCCATTAATGGGTAGTCACGTGTAATCAATTGTTTCAATCGAGGTAGAGTTTTTTCTACACTTGATCCGAAAAGACGCCAATACGTGTCTGAAATGTGTGGTAACGTCAACGATTGAAAATGATTAAGTTGACACAAAAGATTCAACTGTCTAAAAATACTCTGATTCAATGAAATAATTGAAAATGAGCGAAGATTAATAAATTGTAGAATATCGAATTTTGAAAAGAATATTTCTGATTGATCCGGTGTATCACTATTTTCAGTAAGTGTAATAGAGATAACTTGTTCTGGTCGAATGTGAAGGCACATAAGATCAAATTCACGTTTACGCATAGAAGACAAACTGATTGAATACCGATCATAGCCAACAAGCACGTTGTCTAAATGTGAACTTAATTGAGTAAATCCATAGAATATTTCATGTGCCCATAGATAATGAAAAATATGATGAACTAATTCGACTGGAAATAAGTCAAAAAGACACGTAAACATTATTTGACTGAGGATAAAGTTACAAAAAAATAATCAGCTTGAATGTAGCAATCAGTCCACGTTTAATAAAGTGTGTTGCGCAGTTTGTCTTTTACATGTAGTTTTTTTCGTTTCTATGATTGCATGACGATTACAGCAATGCAACATGTGCGCGTTGAGTGTCATCAGGCGTTTGTTTGCTGACTTTTTTTTCTTTCGAGGTTCGAAACCAATATTCATACTTGGAAATACGACACTATTTTCGAGTCTGGCTAAAACAAATACTATTTCTTATAGAATAATATTAATGGTAAAATATTCTGCTTTAAAAGTAGTATATTCATAATCAGACACGATCTATATCGTTGGTTGGACCCACACTAACATCTAATAGAATTTTTGAGACTAAAATCAGATGTTTCCAAAACAGTACCGTGAACTAAAGTTCTATATCTTTCGAAAAGGAAAAGTATTCGGTTGAAAATCCATCTCTTACATCCAATTGACCCTATATAAATGTTTAGCATGGGCCTTGATCGCAAAGCTTATTTCAATTTTATGTAGAAAATGGAATAGGAAATCATCTAAAAAAGAGCACAACTGTTAACACCTGTACAAATATATTCTGCTTAAAACAGAAATAGGTTACATTTATAATTTACTCAGTCAAAGTCAGAGCTTTAATTTCAGGCTCTATCAAACATGGAGTTTCGACTGACCTATAATAAATTTGTTTTAAAAGTTATTTCACTGCTGCTTTTCGTAACTCGAAATTTGTCTTAATTTAGTTTATCAAGTGCATATAGCACGAGCTTGCCTATAATCTGCAAGATTTTTACAGCTTTTTCGCAGGACTCTAAAAACATGGTGGAAATCAGTGTTCTATATACTGTCTGTATAATTGAAGAGAATCCTATATGAATAGTGCTTTGCGATTTTTACAAATTCTTGTGTTTTCATCAAGTAACACTAGGGATCAACGTTTAAATGTATTCAGTCTGTCCTGAGTTTCCTTCCATGTGATAATTTTATTCACATTATGAGAGTGAAATATAGTAGAGAAATCATCATAGATTTGATTTTCTCAGTATCATTAATTTTTCAACATAATCTCCATTGAATAAAAAGTCGTGAAAAAAATAATATCTATTATTTATAAATAAAATGTATTCACTAATATAAAAATCCGATAAGGAAATATTATTTAGCACCAATGGATGTGTAAATTGGTGATAGAGTAGATTTGCATTGCAATCCACTGACTTCTATTTCATGGAATCTACAAAAATAATACTCATGCTAATAATATTTTATGAAAAATAAAATTCATGGTTAACTCTTCTACTCGAATCACCTCCCTAGTATGTCTTTGTTCGCTTAGTTCATATAATATTTTTAGTTTAATCTATCGACAGATGTATTCACATGTGAAACCGGCTCTGAAAAATGACGCCTTCAATAGGGTATCCGTTAGTAAAAACAATTTCTGTCTTAGAGGCCTAATTGATTATCACAAGTTCTGATAAACGCCCTGGCTGCTGTTCTGAAATAATGTGTATTTTTATCGCATGAAAAAGCGAGATCCTGTATTTCCTATGATCCATGTGAATAAAGTCAACAATTCCAAATGATTTTAATCTAACAAAAAATATTACTCAGCAATAGTTTATTCATTGTTCATGAAATATGTAATTTATTTAATTTTCTTACAAGTGACTGCGGGCAGACTGGAACTCAATCTATTTAATACAGATTGGGAAAGTAGCAGTGAAAACGCTCATGTATTGCAACATGATTGTTTACGTGTTGCTGCGTCCAGCGAAGTAGCAAATATCAATCGTGAACTTCTATCTTATTGCATATCGAAACGAATCATATATTTCCAAAGTTTACTTTTGAAGAGCTTTCAAAACAGAATATTACCAGTGAACAATTATATCTGTGGTCACCACCTATAGACTTAGTCGAAGATTACCAATACTATTTAAACCAATTGTCAACATCAAGCAATCTATCTGTGGCAAAACAATTTTCCTATAATTGTATTGATACATTACCAAGATTTGGTTCGACATGTCAATATGAATTAATTTATTATCATAAAAATCATTTGTCTTTCTATGATATTATTCATGATTTTACAATGTAATCGTGGATCTTCTCCAGCATGTTTAGATTGGAGTGAAATTTGTAATGGACAGATTGATTGTGCCGATAGGGAAATTGATGAAGAACATTGTTGGCAACTTGAGCTAAATGAATGCAAAGATGATGAATATCGATGTACCAATGGACAATCTATATCGCGATCGTTTGTTCGAGATTATACTAGAACTTCGGATTGTATTGATGGCTCGGATGAAGTTCGAATAAATTCAGAACAACAAAACAAATTTAAGACACTTAGTCCATCGTTTGAAGTCGACGACAGGACATGTAGCTTTTCATTTTTAACGAGCTCTTGTGTAGGAACACGCAACGATCTCTTATTAGAAGCAATGTATTCGGTAAAAGACAGTTCAATATCTGAGCAATGTTGGTTTGCTTTTAGATGTGTCATCAGGGGGTATTTTCAAGACAAGGTTTTATCGTTAACGAGTTGTCGAAACAAATCATATATAGAAATTATTAATAAGACTTATGGACACCATGCATGATTGTCCACAGAGAGATGACGAAAATATGACATTCATCAATACTGCTGCTTTAATAAAACAATTAAAAATTCATTTCAAATGTGAATTAAGTAACAAGTACGTTCGCCAATCATCAGTAGTTGATCGTAAATGCCATTGTGAAGTTCATCCTTTTAAATGGTGTGAAGACGAATCTCTAGATATAACCTATACTAGAAAAAATATTTCATTTCAAACTATTTGTGATGAATTTACTGAATTGTTTCCAGTCATGATAGAAGAACGAAATGAAACTGAATGTGAGCTATGGTCATGCAATAATATTTACACTCGTTGCGATGGTTTATGGAACTTTCCCACAGGTGAAGATGAAGCCAAATGGTAATTTATCACCGATGGTAAATTGTTCGTCCAATGATCACATATGCGTTTCACCTGACACAAAACAATTGATTTGTCTATCTACCACGAAAGTAAACTATGGCAAAATCAATTGTCTTAGAGCTACTGATGAGACAACATTATGCCATATAAAGTACAACGTAGATGTCTATTATACTTTTTACTACAGAAATACAACATCTTCATTATGTCTTGGCTCTGGATCACTATGTAATGATCGCAACGATTGTAAATATGTAGATGATGAACCGTTTTGTTTAAAAAATCGAACACAGACTACCTCCGAAACGTGTATATGCCAACCAGGGTATGCATCTTTGAGTTCTTACCTTGAGAAATGTGTATGTCACCAAACACCACCACAACTCAAACAACACATAACATATTTTTCACCCGATCCAATAAACTATGTGACCGATTCAAGTTTACCTACTATTGAAGTGTCTCATCGATATCAACCTCGTTGGCATCGTTGTGTTGATTTGCGTGTTTGGTTAAGTGATGAAAAAATTTAACAGTCGATACATGTCTTTGTCCGCCAAGTTTTTATGGTGATATTTGTCAATATTAAAATCAACGCGTAAGTGTAACAATTAGATTTCGAGCATTATCTGATTCTTATTGAACATTATTTCCAATTATTCTTTCACTTATCGATGATAGCAAAGAAAGAATTATTCGTTTTTATGAACAATTCATATATTTATCCGCTAGAGATTGTAAAATTTAATTTAATATTTACTTACTCTATGCAACTCGATCGAAAATTGCAACAAAAAATGATTCAATTCATATTGACATTTATGAAAAATTGTCATTAGCGTATCGAGAAAGTTTACTATTGCCAATCAGGTTTCCGTTTTTACCCGTATATCGACTGGCCTATATATAAACTATTTCAATGCATTTGTTCAAACGGATACAGTGGAAATCGATGTGAAATAGTCGATAACGAAATTAATCTGGCTGTTAAATTAGTTCTTGTTTTATCACAATCAATATTATTCACTTTATTCTAGTCACTAATAATAGTAGACAAATGAGAGCAACTACTTTACGAACAATACCATTGACACAAGATTCGCTTGCAATGTACTGGCCACGACCATTCCATCTGGTTTTTGTTGAGCTCCATAATAGTGTTTACTATTTAGCTGTTACTAAAAAAGCTTATAAAGCATCAACAATCATTGTTAAACTGATAAATCCAATCGATCGTTGTCAACACATCAACGAATTATTTAATCAAACTTTTCTACAATTGCATTTACTTCGCCGTATTAAATATTATCATTTACCATGCCGAACATATTCTTCAGAGTTGTTATGATGATATTCATGATGCTCTCTTAGGCTATCATATCCAGTCACATATTAGTATTATAAATCAACCGGACATTGGAAAAATTAGTTTAGCGTTAACAGTAATATTTTGTGGTAGCTGGTTTTACTAATGGTTTTCTCGCTTTGATCGCATTCCATAATAAAGTAATATGTGAAGTTGGTTGTGGTCTATATTTATTCGGTTCATCGATAACTACTTTACTTACAACTACTATATTTTTATTGAAATTTTCAATACTTCTTTTTGTACAAATGAGATCTATATCAAATCGATTATTTCTACAATTTCATTGTATATTGCTTGATTTTGTTTTGCAAATTTGTCTTACAATGGATCAATGATTACATGCATGTATTGCTGGTGAACGAGCAGTAATTATTATGAAGGGAACAAAATTTGAAAAGAAAAAAAGTAAACAAGCAGCTGAAATAGTCATTGTTATTCTTTTGATTTGCATTATTGGTACTTCAATTTTTGACCCTATTTCTCGACGTTTAATCGAAGAAGAAAATGAAGATATAGAACGAGTATGGTGTATTATTACTTTTCCGCCTGGTTTACAAGTAGTCAATTCTTTTATTCAAACTTTCTATTTTTTTACTTCATGTATGATCGATTTGATGTCAGCTACGATTCTCATAACAAAAAAACCGCGCTGGGAAACAAATCTTCATGTACATCGCACTTATAAAGACCTTTTACAAGAACAACTTCGACAATACCAGCAATTATTTGCTACACTTCAGTGATGCTGGTTATCCTTACATTACCACGCTTAGTTATTTTTTTTGTATGCAAATGGATGACTTCAACAAACGGTGCATGGGTATTTCTGATGGGTTATTTTATTTCGTTTATTCCTCCCATGCTTACATTTGTTGTATTTATATTCCCTTCAAAATTTTATAAAAAGAAGAATGTCTGAAATCTCTCGTTCTTATCGAACTGCAATACAAAAACACTTGCGAATTACTAAATTCAAGTAGCTGAAATTCGTGTTCCCTCTCTCTTCTGAAAATCTTTTTTTTCGGATCATTTATTCATCTATTGAATAAAAATGATATGTTGAATATGTGTCATGTTAGTAATTTTTGTTTGTTACTTTGTAAATAATGGTTAATCTTTTGCTTTGCTTCTATTTCAATAAAGTGTCCCATAGTGTGATGTCACATTCCTGTATTTTTCACAAATTTACTTTAATATTTGATAAGAAAAAGCCAAGATAACGTTATGCGTGTTTTTTCCTCATACTCTTACAAGAGAAAAGCGTGATGTTTTTTCATTTCTTTTTTGCTGTTCTGTGCCAGTCATATGTCAACATAGGATAAGTCAACTGGAAAAAACCAAGTGGAGTTTGCTTTATTTCTCAAACACAATTATGTACACATATAAAAGTAAAACCTTTACTAAAGTAGGCAATCTATTCCAAAAAAAACGGATGCAATGGAAATTAATGATATGCAGGTTAGTTAATACACATTTCTTTTTTTATTTAATGGTTCAAGATAATTTAGATGATAGCCGATCAAAATATTTTCAAAGAATCCGATGAAATTAAAAGTAAGAGATATTGGTTTTTTTGAGTAGTTTTATTTTCAAATCTTTAATGTTGCAGTAATTGACCAATTGGAACCTTGTGAAATCTTTCCTAGAAAATATGCCGTTGAATTGCCTTCGCTTTGTCAAGACTCATTCGATCAAGCTCTGGCGAATTCTTTGTTTAACTTAACAAATGTATGTCTTTTATTCAAAACGAAAACGAAAGATTCTAATGTATCGGAGTTTCTTTTTTCTAGCCGCAGCCATTAGCACTTTACATATATGATGCTCGAAGCGTAAATACAGATGTTTTCAATGCACTTGTTTTACATTCTGAATCAATTAATATGTATCTTGCTGCACAATTTTCAGTATGGAAATGGGATCTAACAGAAGAAAATTATCATGAGTAGGTCAAAATACAGAGCACACAGAAAAGAAAAACTAGATTTTGTATTTTCAGACTGTTGACAACAGTAGCAGTTCATGCAGGTGAGGAAGTGGCAGCAATGATTGATTCTTCACCAAATGAAGTTTATCCACTACTCTTATGTCTGATATTCGATCGGGGACAAATAAAAGTTGAAGGTGTTATTCAAAATATGTTTTCCGAAAATGAAGCATTAGCTGTTTTAATTCAAGCTCGGGATGTATTCAATGCTCGATTTGAATTGCCAGATACGAGTGGTTTAAATTTAAGAAGTATATCAACAGAAAACTGGTCGATACCTGCAAGTACTTTGACAGAAGTGCCGAAACAGTCAGTTGAATTTCGAAGAGTTGCTGCTGATTTCGACGGTGGAGCATCATCGGTTGTTCGTATTGATCGAATCGAAAACACGATATGGCTAATGCAGTATCTCAATCAGAAAGACATTGTTGACGCTCGACTTGGATACGCTGATACAGAAAAACTATTATTTCATGGTTGTGCATATGGAGCAGCTGGACAGATTCTTGAGGAAGCTTTTGATCATAATCGCATCGGAAGACATGGTAAAGAAAAGCAGATCGTGAAAATCTAATTGATTTGACATATTGTTTATACTTATTGTAGGTACATCTTACGGTCATGGATTTTATTTTTCATCAAGTCGATTAATGAGTGACAGATATGCTGCAGCGAATCCAACTACAGGGGAAAAACGAATACTTATGTGTCGTGTACTTGTTGGTCGAAGTTGCAGAGGTGATTCATCGATGACAGCATGTCCACTGACTTATGATTCAACTTCAAACGATTCAGATATTCATGTAGTTTATTCAAATCGACATGTTTTACCAGAATACCTAATAACCTATAAATGAATATTCTACGCATAAGCATAAAATAATTTTGTAAAATTTAGTTAATTTGTTTAGCATTTTTTTCTTTTGCATAAAATAAAAAAAGAGGATGTGGACGTGAGTATTTTGTTCTCCGCTTATTCTCATCCTCACTGTCCACACTTCAATAATTCAATGAAAAAGTTTTTCGAAGAGTATTATCATTTGAAGAATGCAGCGACTACGAAACATAATGCTTTGAATAATTCTAGATTCTCACTGGCATGTTGCTGTTGTTCAAGAAGATATGAGAAGTCGATTCCAATGTAAGCATCTCTTGAATCGACCTTGAACGAAGGACTTTGAAGATTAATCATTGCATTTTCGATTCGTTGGTTCCACTGTTCGGCAGAACCAAAGAAACCTGGCTCAATAAAAGTTGATGCCATTTGTCGACCAGATCCATCATTTTGTTGAATAAGAAAACCGATTTGTTGATTTTCCGGGTTCGCAAAAACCAATCGCATGGTTTGACCATCGTGCGAACGACCAGCGCTGAATAAATAAGTATCATCAGAGAATAAATTTAACGGTACATTATGCAGATAAACACGCATGTTTCCATGTGCATGAAATTCATTGCCATGCTTACGAAAATGATAAACTCCGGAAAGATCATTCGTAAATTGATATGCAGCAGTGTGCCTTAACCGTTGTACCTGCTGTAGATCAGCATCCAATCTATTATTAAAGTCATGAAAAAATGCGCTGCTTCTATTTTTTAAATCATTGAGAATATGAATTTTTTCAGCACTTGTTCTATCCTAAAAAATGAACCTCTATTGTTCAACGAATTATATTTACAAGCGAACTTACTTGAAGTTCATGACAAATTAATTCGACATAACTACAGAAATCGCATGTATTTGGACATGCACGTTTTTTGGCAATTATCGTTGTTGCTTGAATAATATCTTGATTGTAGTTACGTCCATAGAGCACACGACCGAGACGATCCACTTCATCAGAGCTCATGTTTTCAAAAATTCTTCTACCACTGATTTCTACTTGTCGAAGATCAGTTGTATTAAAACCTTTAGCCACTTCATTCATGATCTCCTCTCGAGTTAATAAAAATGTGATATGTTCGTTCTGACGAAACGATCGAATAGCCGCACGATATTGATCTTCTGTTATTTCGCCATTATTGTATTTTGCAGTGGCCTTGAGTAGTTCCACGCGACGATCTGGATTTATGGCACCGCCGATTTCTTTAAATGCTCGTGGATGAATATCGATATCATCGCTAAGATTGAAGAGACCATCTTTTGTCAAATGTATATAACTATTTGTTTCGGCGGCTGATGTGAAAAACTCATTTGGATCGTTTATACGACGAATGGATTCGGTTATACGTTCGTTATCATGCATTTGTCGAGCACTACGATTCGAAGTAGCAAAATTATCGAATGCTTCTCTTCCAGCAGGGGCCTATAGAAAAAAATATATCAGAATCAATCATTGAAAACAAGATTTTGACTAAATTTGTTACTTGAATGTCTTCTCTGACTGCAGCAAGACATTCATTTTGTGCACGCTTGATAATTTGTCCAGCAGTTTTCGGTTGAATAAGTGTGTTCGAAAAGAAAAATACGCCGATCGAAAACTGTAGAATGTCAAAAGTTGTAAGTTGTTCATTTATTCCTTTGATGACGAGATAAGTCGCCGCAGCCGCAGTAGATAATGAATCAACACAAAGTGTCGATATGTTTAATATCGTAACAGTAACACGTGCTGATGATCCGAGCACAGCACTCGTCTTAGCACCAGTGGCTTCATGAAATGCATTGATAGAAACTGCTACCCAGTCACTTAATGCCCCACGATCTGTAGGACTATCATCTTGACTACCTTTATCGACCGCTTTATCAGCAGTAAGTAAGACTGGTGTTAGTGGTGTAGAAAGACTGACGATGTTGACATCAGCGGTCGCCGTACCTCCAACCGTGCTCACATCATTGAAACCGCAGCTCGTCCGACTAAATAAATGGCATGCCGGTGATGTTCCAAATTCAATTGTTGGCTCAAGATTCGGATCGAATTCATGTTTCCATCCCGAATTACAAGAATAGAAACCATATTTTGGATAGCAATACATACATTTCGGTAGACGGTTATTCTCCAAGTAGTCAGTCCAACTTTCATAAGTTCGACCAGTATGATCAATATAATGAGAAAACTCCGTGTTATTAATGGCGTTCCATAGGAGACGAAATACCGGTAAAAAGTAACGTTTTTCCAAAACTTTTACTGATACAAAGACTGTTGCTACTTTCAATTCCATCGCTGGCGCTCTGTGATAGACATTAATAATTATATTTTTCAGATGATGAGCTTCATTTTGTTGATCGTTTGAATATGCATCAAGAAGATGCGTAATTTCGTTTTGATTTCCACCTACCTAACATCAAAAATATAAATCAACCATTGGTAGTTGCCTTTCAAGAAGAAAACATATGTGCTTACTGGCTGTCCAAAAAGAGCATATGCTACTTTTATAGCAAGAAAATCGTATTCATCCTCTTTGTACGAATCCCATGTTCGACCACTGAACATTAAATAGATATTCTTTTGTTGGACTGCAGCTATTTTCTTCCATTCCAAGATATCAGAAGATTCTCCATTACAATACATTGTTTATCTGTAATATGAAATGAGTTTTTACAGTGATTCTTCTCGTAGTGCTATAGAAGAATTGAATGAATCACTCTTGATGCCTACATACAACAAGAGAATACTACCTACATTTTATAAACGACGTTTAATACCATACAAAAAGTAAAAATATCATGATCCTAGTAATACTTATGAATTAATGAGAGGACGATACTTTTTATAGTAATTGCTTTATTCTTTTGCATTCGATTGTTTTCTGCAACAAAAGCACGTACACATCCGGAAAAAAACAAGAACAACTGATATTTGCCTTGTCCTCGATATTGTGACATACCCATATAGGTTCTTTTAAGAATAAAGGTGTGTAAAAGAGAATGAAAGTAAAGAACAGAACAAGCGGTACGAAGCAGGAATCTGGAGTTACGAAAAAAAAATATACTAAAGAAAGAAGAATTTTTTACTACTATATATTCTGAATAAGTGTTCTCCTAACGAGTTTTTCAGCGTTTTACAGCAATCAACTATTTCGGTTGTTGATGCAACAATGCTTACACCCGCACCCACACTTGGGTATAAAAAATAGAAAGTTTTGTAGGACTGTTGTTTTTATGACAGTAGCTATTTAAATTTCAGTTACAAACATAGAGATATCTTCTTGTCACTATCTGTACTTATAAATAGTAAACATTTATCTTTCACTTTGGTCAAAATAGTTTGTGAAGATGCATCTTTTAGCATTACTTCTTCTTGCAGTTGGATGTTGGGGTTGGGGCAATATAGAAGTATTAATTGATAAAAAAGGAGGATACAATATTACTATTGGTAATCGTGTTTGGCTTCGTTCATCGCGTACAGCTATCTATGTAGACAATAAATGGTATTCATCAGATGATGATTCTCTACCATTAACTGGTATAAGTATAACGAGTGGCTTTGATCCAAATCTAGGCGATTATAGAGATTTTCAACTGAGCTATGACCTTGTTCGCAGTGGAATACATACACAAATCATTGGCCATATACGCGACTGGTATTCCGGTTCAGGAATTTCATTTCATTTGGACACTGGTAATCTAACTATGACAAACACAGTTCCTCTTGACATTGATCATGTTCGCACAGTTTTTCCATCGTTTTATATTGAACAAATTGATAAGAATGATCAACGAGGTTATTTTACATTCGAAGGTAAGATTATACAATTTTCAAATGTTTTCATAATTTCTTTCTTTTTTATTCAGGAGAAATGTCAGGTGATGATAATAAACATGCAGGTTGGTGGAATCTGTCTAGTAAAGTCATTCAATCAGGAATGCAAAGTGGTCCAATAGTTCTCTTTAATTTCTCTCAACAAGGAGAAGGTGACATATTAGTTCTTTCACCTTTTTCTCGATTTATGGCGACTTCATTAAGTCAAACAAGTAAAAACACATTAGAATATGGTGTTATGGGTTCAATGTTATCCATACCAGCTAATTATAATCACTCAATGTTTGCTCTTTATTCATCAGGTGGTATTAATGAAGGAATACGAGAATGGGGTCAAATAATGCAAAGAGAATATACTCGAACTAATCAGCATCGTCTCAATGATCCTACGATTAACTATCTTGGTTATTATACCGATAACGGTGGTTATTATTATTATAATACAGAAAAAGGAATAAATTACGAAGAAACTATGGTGAATGTTCGCCATCAAATTCCACTTCCATTTCATTATATCCAACTTGATTCATGGTGGTATTATAAAGGTATTGGCGATGGTGTTTCACAATGGACCGCTCGTCCAGATATTTTTCCTGATGGTCTTCAAACTCTACATCGTCGACTAGAAAATATTCCTCTAGCAGCACATAACCGTTATTGGGCATTTGATACTGTTTATAAACAAAATTATTCTTTTGTTCTCGATGAAAGTAATAAAAAGGCGTTACCAATCGGAAATGACTCATTTTGGATTGATTTATTTAGTCAAGCACATGACTGGGGTCTTGTTCTCTATGAACAGGATTGGCTTGATCGTCAAACAATTGACTTTTTACCAACACGTACTGATATTGATCTTGGGCATCAATGGTTAATGTCAATGGGTGACGCAGGTGAAAAAATAGGAATAAATATACAATATTGTATGAGTTTACCTCGCCATATTCTCACAGCTTTACAAATTCCACGTGTTACTCATGCACGAACATCAACAGATTATGCTTTTCATCTTCGAGGTAAAGCGCAACAATGGGCTATAGGCATATCAAGTATGTTTGCTGATGCTATGGGCGTGGCACCATTTAAAGATGTTTTCTGGTCTACTTCGTTTCAACCTGGTTCTCCTTATAAACCCGATGCTAAAGAAGTGCTTCCAGAACGAGAAATACTTATTGCTACTTTGTCTACAGGGCCTGTCGGCCCGGGTGATGCTATTAATTATACTAATGTGCAAAGTATCATGAAGTGCTGTCGGGAAGATGGTTTGATTTTGAAGCCTGAACTGCCGCTGACTATGATCAATAGATTAGCATCTGATTGGGCTTTTCATAACGGTGTCTCACAAGGTGAACTTTATTCAACAAGAACAACGATGTAAGTTTATTTCGTTTTCTAAGCTTCTAATTAACTTTAGTATGTAGAAATGATCAAACATTCCATGTAATCTTTGCATCAGCTATGAAACAAGATTATTTAGTTTACCCGTCAATGATTGGTGCTCAACCGGGAGTTATCTGGTCATATGATAATTCAAGTGTAGTATCAACTTTTGATGATGTCAATCCTCTAAATGTTTCAGCTAGTAAATGTCATGACTTATCAATATGTCTTTGGTATGTATCTCCTGTCATCGAATTGTCGGGGTCAACAAAATATGCTCTTCTTGGTGAATGGAATAAATGGACAGCTATTAGTCATCAGCGAATTGTATCAATAGACAATCAAATAATCAACCATATAGCGATTATAGATCTTCAAGGTGCACCTGGTGAAACTGTTTCAATCGTTGTTTTTCATTTTACTTCACAATCCGTCACTGTAAACTGTCGAATGTCGACTGATATTGGTCGAGCTCGATTGATTGTCACATCAGCGAGTGTCGTTTGTGATTAAATAAAATAAGTGCACTAAAGTTTTGAAATAATTTTTTCATCGATTAAAAGTGTGGGTGTGGGTTTGAAGAAACTGTTATGACTCATTCAGGTGGCTTATCGATGATGAATTATTCTCCCAAAAAAAAAAAAGATTCAAAACAAGATTCATCATCTTAATAAGCCTCTTAAAGAAGGAGAAAGCAGGATACGATAGCTTCTGCACAATCGCATCAACACTCTCATGATTTTGCTTGTGATTGAAATCATATCCTTATTCTTTTTTTTTCGATCGACTGACGATACGAATTATATTACAGTTCAATGCTTGATCAAAATTTGCTGAGTAGATGAGCAAGACTTGAAATGATGTCTCAAAAACAAGATCGGGTGACATAAAGAATTATTAAAAAACAAGAAAGATTGTCTTAAACTGTAAAAGAACTCTAAAATATTCTTTTTGTGATCAAACCGAGTCTGTCATTGATTTCAAGTACTATTGCATTGACCATATTGTAGAAAAAAAAGCACAAGAGAGGCGGTGAGAGAAGCCATTTTTTCGTCAATTGAATGAAATTGTAAGTTTTCGATATGTTTTTATCTGCCCACGAAAACAGAATTTTCGTAAACACCATTTCCACGCGAACTCTTAAAAGAAAACGCCTGTTTTTCGATGCATTTATATCCTTTAATGTGCCCTGCCTCTCAACGAGTGTTTTTTTTATTAAAACAGCTGAGAGTCTAGGAGTGGACCGTTGATTTTAATTTTAGTTAAGTAAGAGACTTAATTCAGTAGTTTTACTTAACACTTAATATCAATAGAAAAATGTTTGCATCAGCCACTTATTTTACCCAAAATTAAGTGATTAAGTATCTTGTGCGAAATAGTAATAATAGCTGTAAAAACATTTCTACTTAATTTTATTATCTTGATAATCAGCCTGTGTGCCTGATTGCTTGTCTCAAGTTTATTTTTTAATTCATCACAACTCATCTTCTTATGCCTGAGGTTCACCTTAGGGGTGGTACTCTCACTTTCCTTCTTTTAGGCAAGAAAAGCGTTTTGTTTTGACTTTCTCTGCTTTTCTTTCCAAAAAGAAATAGGAAGAAAGTTGCAATTTGAAATTTTTATAAAAGTTAACATATCAGTAGCTCTAATGGATTTTATTCTACTTATTATTTTTTCTTGAATTCAAATTATTTTCCTACTGTTGATACTCCTTATTGGTTTCTTTCATCCTTAGACAATAATTTCCGTCTTCGCATGCTGCTACATCAGATTACGCTTAACTTTAGAAGTTTTCTCGTTCTTTCTTATCCGAAGAAAAAATATTAAGCATTATCTCACTTAAGACCTCGAACAAACGTTTCTCGTATGACAGAAAACAAACTGATTTGAAAGAAAATGATTTTTTTTTCGGCATAAATTGTTTCAAATAAATTCTACTCGATTCTAATATAGTTCGAGAAGTATTCTTGTACTCCCGCTTTTGAATGAGATTATGGTGATTCATCAAGTGCACACATATATAAATTCAATGTTTCAGCAACTGCTTATAAGGGAGCTCTTTTTTCAAACTTTCTCTAGAAAATAATCAATGGTCACATTTAGAGGTTTATAGGTTTCTGAAATCGCCTAGAAAGCGAAGTGTTTTTTTTTAAATTTGATTTTTACGATCTTCGTCGTGTACTGAGACGTATGATCAACAGAGTGATGTCATAATCCCATTACATCGGGTAACGACTTTTTCTCCAGCTAAACTTACTTTATAAACATTCGGTGTATTACCCCTAGGGTATTCACTTTCGATATAACTATATGTTTTAAAGTTGAGCAATTTGAGTTGTTTTGGGGTATTACCCTAAAGCGTAACAACTTGGATATCCTCGAAGAAATACACAAAAACAACTGGAATTTGCATATGATTGATTCATATACTGCACAGTAACACTTCGGAAAAACTTAAGGCACAGATAGTGCTACAGGGAAATGCAAATAATATCATTTTATCTGAATTGCTCTTTAAATAATTTGAATTTAGACATGCATATTACTGAGGCTGAAATGTATGACATAAATTATGATTCCTAGGTGCCTTCCCTGGATTCCTGACAATACGTAACATTGGTAGATGGAAGGCTGTCGCTTCTGGAAGCAAGCCGGACGCTACTGCATGAATGTCTTAGGCTTCTAAAAGAGTGCGTGAAATTGCTGAAACCATGCATCAGGTTGCTAAGATTATTCCCCGACTTCCGACACCCTTGCCTCATTGCTGTCAGTACGAATGGAGTCCTTCGAGACACACCACAGGTACCGGAACACATACCTCAGCTGCTAGATACTTCATACAGGTTACTGCAACTGTGCCTCATCTTGTTACAGGTATCCAAACCAACTTTCACACAAATTAACCGATACATCTCGTAGCACTCAGTTTCTTACAGCAAACACAGGACTGCATCTAGCAACCACAGGAATTGTTTTAACAAACGCAGGCATCCTTGTAGCAGACTCAAAGTCATCAATGGATTCTTCGATAATCTCGTTCTTATTTTATGTGGAATTAGGCAACTGCTCCGAATTCCTCAACTTTAAACATATAGTTAAATGAAAGTGGATACCCTAGGGGCAATACTCCAAAAAGAATTCGATGGGTAATATGACTTGGAAATCACGATACCCAGTGTAACGGTATTATGACATCTATGGAGTGAAAATAGTGATTTTAAGTGATTCCAGTGGTGCATAGGTTCTACTTATCTGACTGAAAAGTGAAAGAATGTATGGTGGTCTCTGTAGTTTTATGGAGTGGATCCTGGATCAGAAGATGGATGACTTACAGTATAATATATAAGGATTCATCTCTGATCGAAAGGGTTGTTTCCGGAGTTTCTAATAAAAACTTATAAGCAGTATTGCACAAGTTTTTGAACCATGCATAGATTTCAATTGCGCAGTGTTTAGTTTCGTGTAATGACAACCATAGATCGCTTCGGGTTTGTGTTCCGGAGTGATTCAACTTCTGTCAACATATTTTGTCTTAAAAAGTTCATTTGTTACATTTCAACAAAAATTGTCTGTTATTCTGCCCAAAGTAAGATTTGAGTGGAAGATGAAAAAATAAATCTGATACAAACATTGATATTCATCATGTTATACTATGGAATTTATTTTCACCGGCCTTACGCTTTTATGTAGGTTTAATAGAACAAGATGAGCAAGATTACGTCAATACTTGAACTTGAAGGTCGGTACTACTTTGTATACAATGTAATTCGCTATGATATATCAATTGTATATTTTATCACATTTCAATTAGTTATAATGAATCAAAATAAAAAAGAACCTACTGAACAAAAATAAAATGATCGTTATTTTTAAAAATATTTGTTGATAATACTACGACGCATGTGATAATATGGGTAATATATTTTTTATCAAAAATGTACAGTAAGCTAAACTTTTCTAGCACATACGTACGAGATGGAACCCACTGAGATTCATGAGGTTAGCATAAAGGCACCATAAGTAATATAGAAGAACATGTCCAATCAAGTGAATACAGCAAAAGAAAGAAAATATTAGCCTGGATAGTAAGAAATGCACAGAACGAGAGAGATAAAGCAAGAAAATGAAAGAAACACATTTGAAAATGTCTAGTATATATCGTTTAAGACTGTATTTGACAAAATGAAAAACATGTATGGAAAAGTTTTTACAACTTATCATGCATCATTCTTTATAATTTTCCTTTCCGAGAAAAAATATCGGAAAGTAGGAAAAATTAACAATATTCTCTTTCCGAGAAAAAAGAAAGCGAAAACTTTCCTTGAATTTCCTTTCTGAAAGTAAAAGGAAAGTGCTACTTTTAGTAAATACTGCACTACGACTTACCATTCGCCATTTGAAACATATATTGTGAGTAAATATCTATTCTTAATACGTTCTCATCGATTAGTCTATCAAATTTCATCAAACATTTATTAATTCAAAAATAGCTATCTCTATAAATGTCTTGTCTTCTGATAATATATTCTCATTTCAACATATAAATTGTCCTTGCTATCTTATCAAGAAATTCTGCTTTTCTCATTCCAATATCATCAAAATAGTAACATAAAAGTGTTCAGGGGCCATGGTAAGGAGATCAGGTCAACAAAAAGTAGGCCTGTTTGAACCTCTACAACATTCATACAACATATATTCTACTCAAAAAGAGGTGGAAGATATTCCAACAGTTTTCAATTGATCTGTAAAACATTTTTGAGTTGAGTTCACTCCGTCCTGAAAATCTGGTTGGTGGTGTGGGTGTTCGTGCGTTTTTCACCCACACCCTATTGAGTCATACAAAGTTCATTAATCTCCATGATGTTCTTTTGGGTTTTCGCGACACCCATATTTCCAGAAAACCTGGATTTTGTGAATTTTCATTACATTCATAATTTTGATGGTTCCAGTTAATAGTCCACATTTTTATCTATCAAACTAACCAAACCCATCATCTCTAGATTGGGTGTGGGTGCAGGTTAGCCCTTTTTCTTCTCCGAAAATCATCTCAACTACTCGAATAAAAGACATTGGCTTTTGAGTCAATACTTGCGATGGTATTTGTTTAGTCTTAGAGAATCATAATTGTTTATATTTATGTGTATGCATCATCATTTCACATCTGAATTCCAAGGATTAGTGTAGAAACATGCTGCCAGCGACTAGATTGCCGATGCTTGTTAGTGGTCTTGTAGTGGTCATCTTTGCTTTGACTGTTGCAATTATAGTACCAGCTGTACTCATAAACAATCCATCACAATAAACTACAGGTTAGTCATAACTTTGAAACTAGGGATGCACTTCTGCATTGGGTCGAACGAGTTAGCTAGGTAACCCTGTTATGTTACTACTTCAGGTGGTTCATCACTATTTAACTTTCTTCGAAGCCCGTTTAATTGCATTAGTTAAATGGAAACGAAAAACTAAGTTTTTACCGAGAAACTGAGACCGATTTACTGGAATATTCCGTTACTTGAACTGGTGTATCCCTAATTAAAACATTAAGATTGTAACATTTGGGTGGGTGTGTTTTTTAGCGAGTGTTGCGATCCACTTCACAAACATCAGAAAAGTTCAGCTTCGGATTTCTAATTCAAAATTTACGTATAAATAGACCTCGATGAGTATGGTGTTTTGTGAAAGTTTTAGGCCATTTGAATTTTTTGTCTAATAAAATTTACTGCTCTATTTGAACAATATAAAATACATATTTTTACAATAGCTATGTTCAGTGATAGAAACAATAGAAAGATCTGAAACTTTCACAAAAACTTATTCTCATTGAGACCTACTTGTATATAAATTTTGTATTCGAAACTCGAAAATCGAAAATCAATCTTTCTAATGCTCGTGAAGTAAATCACAATACTCACTAAAAATCGTATACCCTGAAAATGGACGTTTTCTGCACAATAAGCTAGCTGCGCAAATATTTTTCGGCATTCATAACTCTTGGTAAGCTAAATAATGAGAATATTTTGAACGGAAACGAGATTGAGCATTTGGTGATCACCCCTCATGAGTTGTAATTTGATTGCAACGTGATGTTTTTCTCTAACTTAACAAACATTCTAATTTCGTCGTCGGTTGTCTCTGTCTGCACCGACTACAACAAATACATTACCAGCTAATTTTGTTTCATCATCATTAAATAACGTATCCATTTATCCTCAAGGCTCCCATTCATCTCATGTATCTGTGTTTAGTATAGCGCATAATGATTCGGCTTTGCTACCATTGAACCAATCCATACTTCGGATGATTGGCTCCATCGACAATACATCTTTGGTGTTCGAGGCCGACCGTCAACAATTACTATATTTTCGCCTACCTGGGCAATCAACAAGTTCCAACTCATCTTTGGCCTTCAAGTTTTCCAGCGGGACTGATACCAACAATATTGATGGTAGCCTCATCATCGGATTAGCTATTTGCTTTGGATCACCCGTAGATTGTGATTCAGTTATTATCGTACCGATGTTTAATCCCACTGGTTCTAACTATCCGACTCCGAGTGTTATTACACTGCCGATCCTTGCAGATGGGTCAATAATCATTCGTATTAACATTTTTTCTCCTGGATTCATGTGTCCAATGTCCAACGGCACTGAAATCAATGCATGCATTCTGCTAACCTATCGCGCTTATTCGGTTGTCAACAATAATCAAATATCATTGCCAATTTTGTTGAAACCGAAGCGGCCTGTGGGGACACTTGTTCATTACTATCAAGTCTATGTTCGCCATCATGTATAACATGTGACGGACAACAAGTAGCCAGCGCCGATACACCCGTTTCTCGTCGCTATAACATGGGTGCAAGGTGGGGTCGTTTCCAGTTTGATTATGAGATATTCTTTATTAAAGATCGAATAATGGTTTGGAATGACGCAACTCTGCTGTTCGACACTGGCTGCGTCGGTGCAAATGGAAAAGTTAATATTAGTTACTCGAGCACTTCATGAACAATACGTGTTGATGTTGAGCCTGACTGTGCCTGCACGAGCAGTAGTGACTGTGCTGGGACTGCACGGTGGTTCACAGTACATTGTTTAGATCTTAATACAGGAGAGTGAGATTGTTCACAAGAAGAAACTTTTCAATTTTTGCACTGAACGCTTTAAATTTATATTCTCAACGAATATTGCTACACGTAACAGACAATCGAACAACAAAACATACGTAGTGAAAAATATTAACACGATTAAAATTTTGATCATTTTTAATTTCGAGGGTGCGCGTGAGTGTGGGTTTTTTTTCTCAGTCTACATACGCACTCCACATCCTAAATAGTATGCTAAAAATTAAAAAGTTTTATTGCATCCTTTTTTTTGAATACGAATCTAATCTCTCATTGTTGGATAACAGGTGTATCTTAAAAAAAATACGTAGAATCAAATAAATAAAAATATTTATGGAATTGTAATAAATTTATATATTTACAGTTGGATATGAAAAAAGAGTTGTAAAAAGAACGAAATTACATAGTATGCATTTCAGTAAAAACTACATACTGATGTATATATGTAGAAAGTGATTTACAAAGCGTCTTTATGTGCTTCAGCTTTAGATTTATGAACTTTTTCTTCAATTTTGTCACCAACCGCAGAAAAACCAGCTCCCACACGTTCAGCTACTGTATTATCCGAATCTTTCACTTGTTTCTTATGCCATTCATACGATACACCACTGGTTGCTTCTTCAAACAACAGCAAAGCAATATATTTTTAGTTATTTCTATTGAAATAAATATAATACAAACCAGAAACTTTTTCGACAACATAATTATATGCATGCGATAGGGTATCACCAATCTGATCGAAGACATCTTTTTCTTCAGCATCTTTTTTATCTGCTTCTTTCTTTACTTCATGGACTTTTTGATCCGCTATATTAAATTTTATAGTAGATTTTTACATAAAATAAATATAAATATACCTTTGTCTATAGCAGCATCAATGGCATGACCAATGCGACTACCTACTGATGAATCATCATTTTTAGTTGTTTCTTCTATAGAATAAAATTATTCCTATATAGTTATTGATCTATATGGTTAGATATCTATTTGTTAACCTTTTAGCTTTTCTGAAGTAGCATTAGCAGTATCGTTAATATTTTGCATGATTGTTACTGAGGTTGAAAGTTGATGAGAAATACGGATGATGTATCCCTATTACTCCTTTATATATGTTCTCGGGTATTTTTCTCACTCTAACGTAAGTGTAAAAGAACCAATAAATAGACAACAAATTGAATAAGTAACACCATATACATTATATTTATTTGCTCTATTGATAAAATATAGGCGCCAATTAATGTGTTGTTTTTATGTAGGACCTTGGTTTACATTGAGACGTGTTCATGCATGACTACATGATAAAAATATTGACGCAAAAGTTTAGTTACATAAGAGAAATCATGATTGAATAAGTATTTTTCATTGTCGAAATACAAATCATATTAAAGTTGCTCAACCAGATACATTTTGTTGCAAGGTGAATTCTTCGGAGAAAAAAAACTCTGAATAATGTACTTCCACCTTGATCGATAATATCAATATTTTGAAAATTTGTGAAATATAAACGATGCCTATGACTTGTTCAATCACTAAATTTTTTCGCTTTCTAAAATAGATTGTCATTACTTTTAATTGTGTGATTATAAGTAAGAGGTGTTTTATTTCAAAGATTCACTATCACCATATTTTCATGTTTTTCTTCGTGCTATATCACTTTCTCAGATTCCAGTAGAGTTCATGTTTTGATTCATTTTCTAAAGTATGTCGATTCTCTCTAATAGTACACTATTTCAGTTTAATTCATTCAATCAAATAGGTTTTGGCATTGTAATGGTTTTGAGTAAACACATTGAACGATGACGCCAAAATTTAGTCACAATTAAAATTAATCGAGTTCTCGTAACACATTACATGAATGACATAGCAAAATTTTATTGAAGAAAAATATTGAAGGAAAAGTCTATTTATAAGACAATTCAAACAGGAATTCTTCTTTTAATCATTATCTATAAATATTAAGGACGGTGTGGGTGCGCAGGTTGGCAGTGGTTAGGCCTCTAAGATATATGTACCGACACCCCTCTGATCGATGGAAATTATTTGAGTGGCAATATTTACATTTTGATGTCAAAATGGCTTCATTTCACTAGCTTCCTATGTTAGCAGGTCAAATCAATGATCATTTTGCATAGCAGTATCTCAAAAATTTGCTTTTTAAAATAGCACCAAAATGTCATAGCATCATAATCAACCAATGTTGATTCAGTATTGCTTCACCTAGATATTGACTTTGCTTTTATTGCACGTGAGAAAAAAATCCAGTGGTAACAAGCAATAAAGTACACCATTCATAGATTGCTTGTCAGAATTTTTCTATGCAAGTGAAAGCAGATACTCAAATGTACCCTGCACAAACACATCATTTTTTCCGCAAAAAAGAATGAAGATAAAATGAAAACGCACCATGGCTGCGACCAACTTTGACCCAACACTAGTCAGTTTTGTTGAAGTAAGAACTTATTTATAAAAAGTTTGTCTAGAGAACTCGCAAACGTGGAAAATTCCCCAATCTTTTTTGTTCTTTCTTTCTTCGTTGACCTTGGAGAATACCAATCCTTTGCTATTTTTATATAAATAGAAAATATTTTTCTCATTCCTCACTTATTTCTACACTCAGCCGAAAAACAAAAACTCAACAACTTAACTATGTCATCCACAGCAAATCAAATGGACCAAGAAAGGAAACGTAGTCAAGCACCTGCAACAGTTAAACGAGTTGATGGTGCTAGCACAAACATAGGTGATAGTCAAGATCATGTACATTTTACCGATGGGAGTGCATTGAAGAGAGATGGAACGTGGAAGCATCCCATGTAACTTTTTTTCGAGTCGTAACGCGTCTCTGAGCGTTTGTGAGCGATGGCACTTCACGCATCAGGACGCATCTAGAATGCAACATTTTCGGGGGTACAGACGCATCCAGGGTAACCCAACGCGTCTACACTCGTTCAGCATCTAAACGTATCATAACTCGTTTGCATTTGAAGACGCGTTAGGACCCATCCAAAATGCAACATTTTCAAGCGTGCGAACGCATCCAAAAGTAAACGCGTCTAAACTCGTCTGGATGCCAGATGCATTAGAACGCGTTTACTTTTTTACCCCAAAAAAATTAAAAATTATCATCACTCTGTGTCGGAATTGAGCCGATGCGTCATATTAAGCTATGATATAACACCCACATACCATGAACAACAGAGTGGTAATTTTTCCAACGATAGCGTGAACCAAGATTTGAACACATGAACCGTTGATTACAAGCCGAACATAACTTGCGCTGAGCCATATATTGTTGGATATTGTTATTATCTTCATGAATCACATGAATTAATCGTTTTACAGTGCTTTTGACTTATCTTGCTTTTTAAAAATATAGTTA